TAAATAAATAAATAAATTTGAGATGTCATTTACATATAATAGCACACATTTTAAATGTACAGATTGATAGATTTTTGACTAATAAACATATCTGTACAACCACCACTACAACCAAGTTATAGAACACTTTCATCACCCTGGTTCCCTCCTTTCCCTTTGCAGTCAGTCCCATCCGCCATAACCCCTGGAAACCATCCATCTGTTCTGTCACTATTGGTTCATTTTGTCTATTCTAGAATTTCATAGAAATTAAAACCTACAGTATGAAAACATACTCTTTTATGTCAGGCTTCTTTCAGCATAATTATTTTGAGATTCATTCATGTTACATATATCTGTCAAAACTTGTAAAGGGAGTGAGATTTTACTTTTGACAGGCTAGTAAGGCATCTTGTTACTGTTTCATAGATGGTAGCAGAAGACATTAGACTTCTGGGTGAAAGACAAAGGACTTCATTACTCTTGGAAACAAGCTACTGTTTCTTGGAAACGGTAGTAGTCAGAGCTGGATGTTTGCATTGGTTCCTCATGTCTGCAGTGTTGCAAAGGGGCAATGCAGAGCTGGTGATGATGCTCTGAACATGAAGGAGAGGAACATTGAGCTTGAGGAATATACCACTTATAAAAATATATAAAGTAAGTGGAAGCAAGGGTACTCTTTGTTATTGCTCTTGAGCTTAATTTAATTATAGTCAGGAAACAAACTCTGTTGGTTAAATCTTTTGAAATTTATGACATATTTTATGGCTCAGCATATGATCAGGTTTGGTAAGTGTTCCATGTAGTTTTGAAAAACAGTTTTTGAATGCAGTGTTATATATGTCGGTTAGATCAAGTTTGTTGATCATTTTCACATTCTTTGTATTTACTCATTTTGTCTACTTGTATCTGTTACTGAGACAGGTTTGTTAAATTTGTCCAATACATTTTGTATTGTTCTGTTTCTTCTTTTAGTTTTATCTATTTTGCTTTATATATTTGAAAGCTGTTATTAGGTATATGGAAATATAGAATTGTTGTATTGTCAGGAAATGTCCTTTTATCTATGGTAATGCTTCTTAAGGTCTGTTTTGTTTGTTGTTCCTGATTTTAATTGGCTATTCAGTCTACTTATAATTAATGTAATTCTTGATATATTTGGGTTTAAATTTGCCATCTTAATATTTGCTTTTTAAAATTTGTCTCACCTGTTGTATGCTTTTATTTCTCTTTCTTACTGCATTTCAAATTACTTGTTCATTATTTTATCCCTTCCCTCATTAACTTGCTTATTATACATTCTTTTTCTCTTAGTTTGGTGGTTTCCCTAGAGATTTACCATGTAACTGATTTATTACAATCTAATATATTGGTCTCACATTCTTATTCTCTTCTAAAAACATATATTCTTTAGAAAGAAAAAGAAAGGGAGGGAGGAAGAAAAAGAAAAGGTGCAAGTGTTGGTTTAGAAAGAAAGGGAGAGAGGAAGAAGAAGAGAAAGGTGCAAGTGTTGGTTTAGAAAGAAAAAAGGGAGGGAGGAAGAAAAAGAGAAAAAGGTACAAATATTGGTTTAGAAGGAAAAAGAAAGGGAGGGAAGAAGAAAGAAAGAATAAAATAGCTTTTATTTGGGTTATCTCTCTATATGTTTACTCAATTAGTTGGATGGTAAATAAATACATTTCGAAGATCCTTATTATCATTGGTCATTAGTGAAATGCAAATTAAAACCTCAATGAGATAGCACTACATGCCTATTAGAACAGATTAAATTAAAAGGAAGGAGGGAGAAAGTATGGTGTTAGAGTGGCCCTGATGAGCTAGTGGAACACCTACCCCACCTGCATGCTCCACCGTCTGAGAGTAGATGTAAAGTAAGTTGTGTTATCAAGGGAGAGCTGAGTTTCAGCTAGAGCAAGAAGGTGAAAAGGATGGTCATTTTAAGAAGTTTAGTATAGTTGAATCATCTTGAAGATTACATATTATGTAAATAATACATAAATTTCTACTTTCTTACTTTAATAAATGTAACTTATTTAATCTT